GCACTTTCCACTACACCACAGTTGAATTGTTAGGTTAGTCACTGTCTAATTGTAAGCATTAAGCAGGACTGTGAAGGTGTCGAGACCGATTTTGAGCATATAATTCGCCCCACTTACAGTATCGTTCAAAAGTCTTCGGCCGAATCCTTCTTCAGTCGTACTTCTCTGTTGCAACTCCTTTCCTAGTGTATGTAATCGTGCGAAATTTCAATATGCATAGCATGGGTGTATTGTTAATGTTTACCACCATCAACCCTCAATCTGATCACGTTCCAAATATCCCAAAGAGCTTGAACTCAAAGTCAAGTGGAAAGACGGGCACTGATCCTTCTAGGGTTTCTTTGCCTTTTTGCCTGAAATCTATCAGCGCTAATGCCAAACACAGTAGAGGAGAAAAACGCACATAAAGTGTGAATACCTGCAGACGTCACTAACTTTGCTTTTAGCCAAGTCTAGTACCGCAACAGACACCTTGCTCTTAGTTATATGGATATTGCCGCTTTGCAGTCGAATAGTGTTAGATAATGTAAAATATAATTGAGTTAAGCATATCAAAATTCTGCGTGAGTCGCTCCACAAAGAAAAAAGTAAATTAGTATTAAATTATTTATTTATTCATTACGTTTATTCTAAGCGCTATTGTAAACCGCTTTTCGACGTAGCGATGCCCCGTGTATGCCCTGAAGTCTCGCCTTTCCTCTTCTCACCAATGAATAAAACTAGCAACCAACGTGACTACCTAGAGACAGGTGATTGACGTGCTGCTTCAGAAGAGCTGCTCAGAAACAGACCGCGTTGTCGGCATAGGAGATAGGCTACTATTTTTTAATCATCATATTTTCCGGGGAGGATTATTTTTTACTGCAAATCAGACTCAATCCTAAAATTCGTAGAGAGCATCCAACAAGCTCATAGCACAGCACTATTCTTGTCTTCCTAGGAATACCTGCAGTCCTTGTTACTAGTCACAAAAAAAAAATGTTTCGCAGAAAAAGTCGCGTACAATCCTTCTGTTGAGAATTTGTGAATCAAAATTCCACTGTGAATTCCGAATGAGTTCAATACCATTTGTCCGAATCCAATAAAAACACATTGTTTCTTTGAAATTTTCAAATTTCGGACCTTTCACTTTTTGGTTATTCACCCTACTGGCAAGAGCTCTATGGGCACAATTAACGATAATTTTGGGGTATTTACTTATAGACTAATAATGAAAGTGGTAGTCCACAATAGTACAAAAGTGGTGAAAAAAAANAAAAAAAACGGCGAAAATCGGCGTACTCATAGAAGTATAAGACGAACGGTTGAATGGTGCGCGCCATTGCAAAAAGCTGGCTGCGGTCCATTCAACCAAAGTCCAAAGGTCTTGGTCCCATTGCGGATAATGCAGCTTTTACAACCTCGATAGCTTTTACAACGCCTAGGAACTCATCCACTTAGAGCTTCAGGGCCCTGACTACACCCTGTCTTTTTTAACCCGACAGCGTTCCCTAGACTACGTTGGGGTCACAGGTCAATCCTAAGGAGAATTCTCAAACACCACTTTCAGCGCGGAAACGCACAGTCCACGATTAAAAAAGGTCTGAGATTCCCCACAGGATGAATCCGAGGCTCCCTCGTGTACCAAATCTGACGCTACCTGGTCAGAAAATGGCTTTCTTAGGGCGTCATGAAGTCTCGAAGATTGTACCATGTAAGATTGTACCGTGTGTATCCTCGGACGATTTTCACCGGCATTGTAGAGGCTGCACCATCCACAAAGGAATCAATGTAAGAAGTTCAAACAACTTGCCATGACCCATAGCGGCATGAAAGGCAATTCTCGACAGTTTTGACTTGATGTAGTTAGCTCTTGCGCAATTACAACTGAAATCTCGTCCAAATACTCCTTCCATGTTACTTCCGTCGTGGTGATCTCATCCAACCTCTATTTTCCCTACTTTTATCGAGCCGTATTTTTGTTGAAAAAGGCTAGTTCTCATAGCTTTCTTCACTGCAGATGAACTATTCCCAATCTATATTTCCGCTTTCCGAATAAAAAGGGGTACCTCAAAATTATCGTGAACTGTACCTTTAACATGAGCGGGAAATTGCTATTCTCTCTTAGTATTCAAGTGGACCACCGTGTTCCCCAGTGAATATCTGTGTAAGTAAAACATGTACATATAATTGTGTCTTTTGGCCACCGTGCTCTTTCCTACACTACCAGAGACTCGGTTTGCATTTTCCATTTCAATGACATTTCAGCCATCCTTCAGAAGGCACCTTTACTGGTTAGATTTTTTCTGAGGGAGGAAGAAGAACAATAAACCCGCTAGGGTTCTGAAATGGAAGTTCTTTTCGAAGCCATTCATTTTTGAGATTGGACTAACATAAGTTATGACGATGAAAAGGAGGCATGCCCGGTCAACCTCCGATCCAACACTTTTGCAGTATTTTTCCTGGGTTGCAGAAAACCTAACATTGTCGGAACGATCAAAATTATCCTCTTTTATTCGGGAACAATCCCCGTACACTATCTCTTGCGCAGACGGCTCAAAAAAGTGATGTTGCAAGGAATAATCACTTTCTTATAATGGGTTTGGATATCAGTTAAGCCTCATTTGATGAAGCCTAGAATCTTTTACAAGACTGACACAGCACCACACATCACTTATTTTTTTGAAGACTCAGAACTCATTTAGTAGATGCATTTTGCAGAAATCTCATGCAAAGATTGGGCTTTTTACGGATATTAACCTTTTCAGAAATGGCACAACGTACGTGTCGGTTTGTAGCAGCACGGATTCCTATTATCCATTATCATCTCGCAGGATCAACTTATGGACTTATGAACTGCGAGCAGAACTAATTTTTGAGATGTACTTGCGAACAGAAAAAATTGCTCAGGAAAGGGCAAGTTACCCAGTATATGCCGGTTGAAGAGATCGTCTACTGACGCAATTTCTGACAAGCTTCCGTTGGCATGTATTCATCGAAGTAGCCAGCTAATAGGTTTCTCTGAAAATTGAAAAGGCTCCGAAGCGGTCAGAACTGAATATAGAATTTAGCCAAGACTAAGTGGTGCTTCTACGTCATGATGGTTAGGGCTTCAAATTCAGCAATAATGTTCGCCAAGGTCTGATGGATGATTTTCCAGCCATACGTTTTCAGTCGGTTGGGGAAATAGACTTTGTCTCGAACTCCCTTTCGGCTTAGAGGATCCACAAAGTGTCCAGGGCAATACTACGAATCCGGGCAACTGCAGGTGCTCCTACAGAATCAGTGCAATCAATCTGAGTTCGTTTCAAGCCTCACCGTCTAGTAATGCTGGGATGACTCTATCGACTGCGAGGAAGCAGTATCCCATTTTGGAAGATTCCTGTCTAAACAACGTAAAAGCAGCAGCCTCTTAGAAAGTTTTTTTCCAGGCTGTCTCGGATCCGGAAATGTTACTAACCCATCTTTATAAGGGCATATTCCAAACACACACAAGAAAATTTATTTTTAGCAAAATCTTGAGACCACGAAATTTATCAGCAGATTGAAGGTGATTAGTGTTTTCTTATCTCTAATCATCGAACCAATCCATCTCGACCATGTTTCCGAACTCAATGGAGCTATGGACAACTGATGTTCTGCTGGGAAACGGAAATCAATTCAGATTCAATAAACTATAATGTGCTCTCGAATTATGTGATTCTGATTACCATCAGCAAAGATGAGGAAACTCTCGTCAACAGAGACTAATGGGCAACTTAGTGGCCGTTGAAGGATTATTCTTAGGGTTATGAGCTGATGAAAGATAAAGCATACAACATCAACCAGACATTTGATAGGTTCAGCAGCTCCTTCAGCCAGCATATGAATGTTACCACATAAATAAATAGATAAGTGCCGTCCTATCATATATATGGTCCGGGGATCGAGTTCCAGACTGACGTTCGCCATCCGCAAGCAAACCTTCAACCATTCATTGTCGCTTACAGTGAGTCGGTACCAGAGTCTGGGAGGTTGGAATCACCGACTTGTACGTCGGACTGCTCCAGAAAGTCCCCTACGTCTTTTAATCTCTCTATATATAATGCGGTAATTTTGTGTGTCTGTTTGTGGGTCGGCAGGATGAAGAGTGTTAATGTCACGTGAGTGGCCGCTTCATAGTCCGCGTGCGAGCGAGCGAGCGCGCGAGCCGGCCGAGGGACTACACGTCCGACGGTATCGACCAAGATTCAGCTGTAAACCACGGGCAAGCGCCGCCCCGTTCGCTCGCTCGCTGGCCAAATCGCAGACTATGAAAGGCGCGTCCTCTGCAATGGATTGATTTTCCTGAAAAATTACTCTTTCTTGTCCATAAATGATACTGCAACTTTCTAATTAGGGGAGATTTAGATAGACCTTGGAGACTTGATGTTTTTGTTAACTGCTGTTTTAACGCCGCAGTGCGCGAAGCGAAAGTCTCACAAGGTTGGCGATTTGTGGGCAAAACTCCAGTCTCGGACGGGACTCGAACCCGTACTTGTCCTTTAGTCCTTCTGAAAGGACAAGTACGGGTTCTAGTCCCGTCCGAGACTGGGGTTTTGCCCACAAATCGCCAACCTTGTGAGACCTTGGAGAATAATTTTCACCGTTTCTGACCTCCTCCAGAACTGTTCATCGATTTAGTCAGGTTAAGCGCTGAGTGAATGCCATTTTCGCATGTGGCATAAAAGCTAACCTCAGAGCTATCTCAGACTGGTCTTTCCTGAGTTCCTTCACGAAGCGAACTTTGGCGGGCAATGTTTTGAGAACAGACATGCTGTTTAAGGGGGCGAAAGTACATGAGCCTGCGCTTGCAGAGCATGATTTCTCGTGCACAAGACTCTGCAAGCATGCGCTATTCGAATCTTCTAAGGCTAAGGTTCCCTATTCAAATCTTTTTATCATATATGGACATGTAAAGCAAATTAATCGCTTGACAAGTGTTCGATATTCATTAATAAAACTTTTATTTCTATCATCAATGTATTACTTGACTTTTTTTCTCAGCAACATGCACGACTATAGTTGTTGCAATGACGAACCCGAAACCACTGGGCCCAGTTATCAGTGTTGGGTCGATTCCGTCGATATCTGTAAGGAATATGTTACGAAACACAAAGTTACCGAAGTTAGTTCCTATCAGAAAATAAATTTATATTCAATCGAGGGAATCGATTCTGAAGGGTTGAGAATGTGCATACGCGCTTGTAAATTGATGAGATTTTCCTTGCGATCGGGCGACATGCCAAGTCGATCAGGACAACACACAAACACTCCGCTAGTCGCGCGCGGCATATTCGCGATGTTTGAAGCGACTCCCTGCGTCTATACATTGCGTGAAGACTGCGGTCTACCCTTTTTTGCAATTTCCCTACATCGATATTATTGATCGGGAAATACTCATGGTTGGTTCTACTAACTTCTGGTTCTACCAATTCTAACGAGCTTCAGAAGGCGTTCAAACTTTATCCCTTCGTGCTCGCAAGCAATCAATCCCGATGATATGATAATCATACTTTTTGTGCAAAGAGACACATATTACCTTCTCGTGACGAGTATCGGCTCCTTCATGATTAAACTGTCCGGCGTTTCATTTTTGGCGAGGCAATCATACAAATTCCATACCTGAAAAAAATTTGTAGCAGAATCCGCTCATCGTTTGGAATGTTTTGGAGGAAAAATTTCAAAAGAAAAAACGAACTTGTCCTCTTACAACCCGCATCTGGCTGAAAACCAAGTAGCGGCTGTTGATATGTTTGTAACGAAAGAGGATCTGCAATAAGAATTCGCGAAAGAGGATCTGCAGTACGAATTCGTACCAATTATTTTGCAAGCGTTTTGCTCGACGGAAGTTGGACAGGGGAATTGGTGTGTTGAAGGAAATGGAGTATGAGAAGTACATGGATAGTATGGTTTCTTTATAGAGATGGTTTCTGGGATCTTCGGTTCCCCACTACATTGGTCAGAGAAAATCGCTCTTATAAGCAATTACGTGAACAGTTGCTGCCGCTTTAGAACTAGGTCCTTGCATAAGCACTTTGACACTCTGGCTTTTTATGATAACCATCGCTCCAATGCTTGCGCCAGACCCTGTGGGCGCATTCTCAGCACGTTTCTGCACAGTCGGAAAATCGAATGCTCACTTCTTATGAAAATGTAGCAGTCACTGAAAAAGATCTAGAAACCGCGAATATTCCTATGCCTTCCTCACCTTGAGTTCATGGCAAAGGTCATGAAGAAAGGCAGGGTTGATCAAAGCCAGCAAATGCTCCCGTAATGCAGGATCCCACGGCTGAAAGATAAACTACAAATATACAACTCGGTAGTTTAATAGAAGTTTCGGAGTCTTTGTGTACAGTTCTGAAAAGTCAGTGAAATCAAATACGTTTCACTGATTTTACAGAGCTATACACAATAGATTGCTTGGTAGCTATTCAGGAGAGTGTTTGAACCCGAAAAGTGCATGCTTTTGAACAGATTTAGGCTTGAGGAATAAGGGCGCTGGATAGTTCACCTTATCTCAGCTCTGTAGTTCATTTTCGTAGCAAGCTCACACCTACGCCAGGTTGTAAGAGAGAGGCTATCATCACAGTAATGGTTACCGAAGAGTTTCAAGTTTGATAAAAGCTCAAACCTGTTGCGCCCAGCGGTATTCGGTCCAACGGAAAGGGAACGTTCTAAAACGGCTCACAAACTCCGGATGTTTCACGGGAAAGGCAAGACCGTTATCTATAGCAGCTAGTTCTATCACTTTTCCGGGAATATGTCTAAAAAGCGTTTAGGTTACCGGTGACAAATGCAAAACCAAATTACTTGTATACAAGCTGTGATGAAGTAGTCGGTGAAAAAAACTTCCTGTGTTCAATTTCCATGTTTGCATGAAACATCACGGATGTTACTAAGAGGAAATACTGTGACATACGAACTCGACACGGCCCTACGGAATGATGAGCGGGTGCATCGAAGCTTAGTAGGTTGTGAAGGCCGTCTTAACCGAATTGGATCGTTGACATAAAGGATCAGCTCAAAATACCGACATGTAATTCAGAGCTAACGAAGAGGGTATTATGATAGCAGTTACGCTGTTCTAGGCTCTACCGGTCCTTAAGTTGTTGAAGGCCTTTCCAAGTATATCGTTGAGGTGATCATCTGATCAGGGAGTATTTTGGCAATCAGAAGAGGTTACATGGCTATTACCACTTTGAATGGTGTTTCTAAAATAATCACTTCATCACCTTATCAACAAGTTGTCCATATGTCTATCTGTATTCCTTATGATATAATCAAGAACAATCATTTTTTGAAAAAGATATTTGAATCTGAAAAGAATATCATTGTAATCGAAATTTCCTAACCATTTTCCATGGATTCCATTTTGTACTAGCTTAGTAGAATGAATGGAGTATTAGTTTCTCAGTCCAAGTACCTCTCTTCTTCAGCATCCGACAGTAGAGTCTTGTCATAGTCCCACCGTGAAAATACCGTCTGAGCACTTTCATATCCCTTCACGAAAAGCTGAGTAAAACACTTTTATTGGGCAAGGCTTAAGTTTTACTTACGAAGAATGCAATCAGGGATGACCAACCTGAAAGCTGCCTTCTTTCGGTTTGATTTCATAGCGTCCACAACAGCGAGAGTAGAAAAACGATGGAGAAGCCATACGAACGACCCGTGTCTTAGGCACAATATGTAACTGAAACGCTACCATTAGACTGGGGATAGGTTCCCTGCCCTTGGGAGGTGCATTGAGCTGCGTCTGGAGGTCTATCCAAAGAATGTCCTACTGAGGCTTCCTCTTCATTCTTTTTTGGTGGGTTTTCTGCCCCAAGTATAGAGCTCAGCTAAATAAGAAGGCGTCAAAGAAATATAAAGACTTGAGTGGGAGAACGGAGGAAATGGGGGAAGGAACTCGAAGCATCTTTGTGCTTCTAAAAAACCAAACTTGACCTGAAGTAAATCATCGACAATGCTAGCCCCGGTTTCTGACAAATAACCATTGTTAGGAATCAGACAAGCTCGTCCGAAGCAGCAGAAACAGAGAATCCTGAAACTTTACCTTGTTCGTAGCCGACTAATACAGCTGGTACTAGAGTTCCGTTGTTCACCGTCATTTCTCAGCTTTTTCGATTTAATGGGAGCCCTCCTCTTCTCTGTACAGATTAGACGGAGAGCCAATGCCTCGTCTTCGAAAACAGTCAGAACACACACTAACCTCTGGAAGAACTTAGGCCATTTGGGATTCAAGGCTGCAAAGGGTTCTTCATCTGATGGCTTGAAGACTGCAATGTTCTCTAGGTTCTCGTCACGAACAAAATAAGACCCTGAATAGCAAAGTTTATCTCCCCCAACTCGTTGCGTAGGAGCATACAGCAGAAGAATTGACACGCTCCTTCGGAATGCTCGGAATGTATCGCACCAAAACCACACCGGTTACGTCACCGCTTCAGTATGGTAATTACTAGCCTATGACTTCAGACTTCGATATGGTCAGACTTTTTAACGAAGGCTCTGAATGAAAGGAACGCTTAGCCTCTTGTCCCTGAAGCGAGGATGACTCACTGTACCACTCTAGCTCGTGACAGGAATGAATGGAGACGTTACTGGCCCCCGCACAAGGAAATTGACGATCAACGGGATAGGTGGTAAGGTGATGACTTACAACTTCATCATACCATGTACATATGTGCCCAAGCAGCGCTTATATAGCACCTTTCGTGTTTCCTTCCCTGCAAGACACCCGTTATCGACAATGGAAGCATGTGGTCAGAAAGCCTATATACGTCTCCTGGGGAAGAAGACTACGTACGAAGAGCGCATTGCTGCACTTCAAAATAACTAGTTTGAACTTCAGTGAAGTAGCGATTCCCACTAGAGCATAACAAAAATCAGTCGGCACCCGCGATTGTATTATAAATGATGCATTCCCCTTCTGCAGATGAAGTCCGAACACCATCTTAACTCCAATTACGACGAAGCAGGCCAGTTTGCTCCAATGCGGCTTTACCTTGTGTGGGAGTCAAGTCCGATCACTAGGTTTGCCATCTCAATATAAGTTCATTACAGGTATGTTTACCGTTTTCGTACCTGAGCTCCCAACTGGGATGAGAACAGGATGAATACCCTTTTTCAGCGCTTCCTGTGCTTTCAAGAAAGCTTGTTTGAACTCTTCATCGCCATGAAACGGCCTATGAATGTAGTGAAGGAAGCGTCCACCTTTCTTGATATCTCCATGACTTACTTGGATTCTGACATGACATAGTCGCATGATTTCAGATTGTCTGTGGATACAGACGCGAATGAACGATCCTCTTGAGTGGTTGTATTCACCAATGACTTTAATGGTGACGTGTGTTGTATAGATTTTACTGTCATAAAGGTTAATGCTGAAATTGGACAGGGTCACCCAATGAAAAAGCAAATCACAAGGGCTTGAGAAGTGTCAAAGTGTCTTGGATGGACTAAAGACCTTCTGAAAAATTTTCAGTAAATGTACTTCAAGGGTACGCCGAAGGGAATTCGCGAAGCGCGTTGAAACACCTCACCACCAGCGGGTTCGAAATGCTCTAACTTCTACGGTGAGCTCGAAGTATTTGGTAGTTTTGCTCCACTCCGCGATTTTGCAGGTGTGACGTCAAAAGCTCTCATGAAGCTATCTCTTACATTACAAACACCGAGCTTGGAATGGAGATGATGAAGTTGTCATTTCGAATTTCTCTTGATGTCCTAATTTCCTTTAATTCCCGAAATAAACATCTAAGTCCTAGTCACCCGTTCTTGTATCGGACAGGTTAAACGCCTCATTTGCCCTACGTCTGCGTTATCAGTTCACCCAAGACCAAAATGAATACAATCAGAACTGTATGTTCGAAAGCTCTGAACAAGCATGGAGCGATCAAGCTGAGTGAACAATATGTTCCTCGAAACGACCGGGATTTCAGTCACATTCGAACAATTCATATTCTGACTGATATGGACAACTATGAGTTATGTTTCTTCCCGAGCAACAGTCTTGTATTTCAGTTGGATCTTGTTCTAGTTGGAAACAGCAAACATACAACGTTCTGTTGAAGGTTTAGGTGTCTCAACGCAGACGTCATCTCTGTAAAGTATGGGCTGTACAGAGTCTAAGTCTTCTTCGACGCATACTGAAAAAGTTTGAGGTAGTTTGTTTTCAGTGTTCATAAAGCACGCTATAAGCTCTGTCTCAACAACGTCGCATAAAGGAGCCTGTAGTTCTACTAGTTTCAGCCTTTCAAAAATTTTCTGAAAACAATACCAAGATCGAGATTTACGAAGAAATTTATTCTTTTCCTGAACTTGACTTTTTTGCGTCTACGACCGAGAGCTAACATATCTTAGGTTAGTTGGTGCTAAGCGTTATCCAGTGTGAGCAAGTGAGCAAGATAGTAGGGTTGGGAGAGGGGGGAGGGGTGATATTTGGAAGTATTGTATCATATAGATTGATGTCATAAGACCTGAGGCCACGGTTCTGAGCGGTCGATTCCTCCAACTTCCCTTCTCATCTATCACCAAGCCCAATCGCCCGTTCAACAGTGAAAGGTTTTTCGCTTTCACTTACAGAGTCATAACATGCACCTCGTAGGGAATTTGTTAGTGTATTAAGGTAATGTCGTAGGGCGCCAAGAAGGGAATCAAGTAGGTTGAAAGAAGTGATGTCCCGTTGTCTAGAACTTGAAAATTGTAGATGTAGCTCAGAGATCGTAACCGCTGGGGAAAGTTCCCATCAGTTATCGCTGACATCTTACCCCACGGCACTTGATACCTTGCTTGATTGATCCAGAAGTCATGCCAAGAACCCGCATTCTTCAAAGAATTCGATCTTATCCTCACCCTTCCCTATTTTGGCTGCTGAAGGCGGAATTTATGGATATGGGTGCGACATGGAAGACTATTATCATTCTGTCTAGAACACGATCTATGCTATGCCACAATCTTGCGCCCTGAATCAAAAGCTGGAACGAAGAACCCTAGCAGACAGCAACTCGTATATGATAGCATTCGTTTCACTGGTTTTCTCAGGGATACGGATTCATTCCGGTTTGATTGAGGCAATCAGCAGAAGTGGTCCTGAAGATCTACCTGTATAATGATTCACAAGCTCTTCAAGTTCGGAGGCTGTCGTTGAATACATCCTACTCTGTGAGGAACGGACGAGCTCAATTGAAAGCACCCACCGTTTGCCATACGATCACTATAAAATAAATGGTGAGCAGTTCCTGAGCAACACCGATATTTGCTTTCTTCAGAACGGAATGATGTGATAACGTTTATCCTCATGCATATGTAATGAGTCTTCCACGTTGCTTTCTAAGAGCAGACCTCATTCATGGGTGTACGTCGTTTGGAGCGGTCCCGCCCATTGTGCCGCCCACTCGGCACGGCTTCTGAGTTGGACAACTCGTCCAGGTTACTCAAACTCCTGACCATGCTAACCGATGCAAATAGATAGAATACAAGTAGGTACGCAATTCGGCATCTAACAGTAGTGGCGCCATCGACCGGGCGTACATCAGCTGGATGGAAAGTTGTGTGGCCGAATAGAATGGTCAGGAGGTTGAGTCACCTGGACGAGTTTAGCTCAGAAACCGAATAGACGGGCAAGAGGCAAAACAACCACCTACCCAATGCAACCCACCTCGAGAAAACCATGTGATGCGCCGCGGAAAAACCTCTTCTGAAGCGCGCCTCTTCGGATGTCTCGGAAAACTTTGGTCCCTCCTTACCTGGGCGAGCAGTAAAACAAAAAACCCTTTGTAATGGCAATTTTGAAAGAGTTTAATGGCTTTCATTACTCAGTACATAGAATCTTTCCATAGAAAAGCAATACGAGAACAAATATGATATTGGAAAACTCTGATGTATAATAGTTATGGCCCGAAGGAATAGAAAACATTCCAGTTAGACCGTCTGTTTTTCCCAGATTTCCTTGATAATTGGACCATCGCTTCGGTGTAGGCGAAACGTGCTGAATATGGCACCGACAGAGTAGAAGAACGGTCGTACGATGTACAGAAGACATAGCGGCCAGATTGACAGCATTTGACCCAGTACCATACGTAACAGTGTAAGAAGAGGCTGCAATTTAACACTATTTTTCTTTTTTTAAAAATTTTATTCAAGTCTCTGTACACATGCTGAATGCTTTAATCCTTCCAACTTCTCTCTTCTTGTAACCTAGGCGTAGCTAGTTATGAGTGGTAGTTCTCTGTGCCTATCGAGGTTGGTCGGTGAAAGAATCTATCAAAATGACCCAACGTTCATATCTGATCGTCATTCCCGATGGAGTGGAGTTCCATTGCCTCATTTCAGCCGAATAGTAGCTATTTCACACTTTCGATCGAGGCCTGATTTCAGGGGTAGGTGAAGTCTAGGTATTGAGATCGGCTCTTCCGAATTCACTATCTTTCACGACTCGCTTGGGCATGACCCAAGGTAAGCGAGTTGTGGGGAATGTGTTCAGCACTTTACACCCCACTATCCGTTCTGCCATCATGTAGAGCGAATAACCTTCAAGTCAACTACCACGTGGATCCGTTACAATACACATTACCATAGTTTTAGGGCTACAGGAATTGAGACGAAGGAGTTATTCAAGGGTAAAAGGCACACCGCCATAAAGCACAAAAACTCATCTATCAACCCACCGTCGTAATCCATATCCTTAGAAAAGTGAATAATGCAAAGATAAAGCCTGCGATTAAGGCCACTGGCAGCCCAAAGATGAGCGTGAAAATCTTGTAGCAGTAGATACGAGTAATTTCAAAGACCTGTAAAGTCTCCCAATAAATAGGATGCGGTTTTGTTTAAACGTCATGGGTTTGTCATATATAACAAAGAGTTGACCATGACTAGTTTACGCCACTGTCAGTGCACTTCAGTCTACAAAAAGAAGTCTAAAGAAAGCTAAAAGCTGAAAATTTACTTTTCAAACTCTCTTTCAAAAAAATTTTTTAGAGAATTGGTAAACATACCCTGTAACTAGTTGTCCATACACATGCCACACTATGGTATTGTGGATCGGGTTCAGCAAAAATGTCCAGAAAATGTGTCTGAAATAGTTGCCAGTCGATCGTCTCTCTTTTCATTCACAGTCACAACGTTTGAGCTGTTTTCCTTTTTAATTATGCTTCTTTTAATTTTCCATGTGTTAAAGGAGTACTGTAGAAAGTGGGGAGAGAAGGTTATCGAGGCTCACGCTTATTGTTAGTGCCAACCTTAGACTTAGGCTCAGGCTTGAAAAGCTTTTGTGGTTTGGCTTCATACAGGCGCAAGTATAAACTTATCATTCACAATATTTAAGTGACAAACTCAAAGAGTAGTTATGTGTGGCATAAAAAGAAATGATCCGTACTATACTATCAGTTCTTCAATATTAATTTATCACCTTGAGATCCCCGTTGATACCATGCTCGTCACGTTGTTCCAAATTCAGTTGGCGAGCAATCACTTCATTACAAGCATTGCCGTTGAAATCGAAAGCCATCTGAGGATCCTTTGCTTTCACTGGCTTTGCTGCCATCGGTAATGGAGGTTTTGACTGAAATGCATATTTACTTTTCAGTTGACTTTTGTCTAACAATTTGTTTATTTCTCTAAAATCTTTTTCGAATTGCCTTTTGAATCTTTTTTTGTTAAAGGCAGGAGGCAGCGAGATTTCAGGCTCTCAATCTGATTTGGAAAGGGTACGATCCAAAAGCTAAAAGGCATCATCTCCTGTTCAAAACTGGAGACAAGCGGGTGGGATTTTTCAAAACTACAATTTCATTTATTTTTCAATTTTTGAATTTTTCTATTATTTTTATAGGCAAGTGGGCAGATTTTTTTCTATTAATGCTGCCTCCCTTCTATCTTTCCCTTGGAGAGCTGTCTCTCTTCCAGGATTTGATCAGAAACTGTAGTGGGAATGGGTGGTTTTAAATTCCAGATCATCAAATGAATGAAAATAATTTCTCCCATGAAACAGCCCCATGCCTATTGATACTCGAGTGTTGTCTATTCCTTTATGTTCAGCCTCGAGACAAAACTACCCTTTCGAAGCTGCCATGAACCTAATCGCAAGACCATTTCTCTTTTTACTAGTCCTAGGTACTGGAGGATAAAGATTTTGGGTTTCTTAGAAATAAATTTGCTACAAATCACCCACATCTTCCACGCTTTCTGATTTGTTTGCCTTTACATGTGGTTGTGGTGGTGGTGGAGCGTACTGTAACTCATGGGCACTAGGAGTCTCGATGTGTAACGCTGGCGGAGCTCCCTTGCCGACGTTTCCTCCAACCGACATCGAGCTCGAATATCCCGCGGAGTGAGAAGCCTGAATCACAGATCCTGAGGTAATACTTCTGAAGGCTCATTTGCATTTCACAGTGAAATAATTTGCGTAAAAGGTAGATCTTTCAAAATGAAGTAGCATCTCCTTCTTTTCCATGTCCTTAATCCTGCTCAGTAGCAGGAGCCAATGTAAACCACCCCGAGGAGATGATTTGTCTACAGGCTTCGTTGGGAACCAGTCATTTTATGTACGGGCCCTCGTGAGCACGTCATTGGCAAATCGTTCAGGTTTGCACAACGGCAGTATCATAAGTCCGACTATCCATCAATAAGAGGTTCGATGAAGGCTTGATGATTACCTTTTTTAGTGCTTGGGAATCATAAAGAGATAGGGACTGTACCGGAAAGGGTGATATTTACGCAGATGCTTAGCCTTTTTTCTTGCATATTGAAAAAAATTTATCTATACCGTAACGTGAGTGGTGACAGAAGACGTCGTCTGTGTGGTTTCATATGTTTCCTCAATGTCATGCGCCACAGCAGCCTCTTGTTTGTGATTCTTTTGAGATGAGCATGAACTTTTTCTGCTCATATCCCTGAAGTCAATAATTTGTACGAGAAAGTACCGAGTAAGTTGAACTATAAAACGATCACGGAAACTCCATCAAACATATGAATCTTAACGTCAAATTAGGTCAGGCAATTGTGCTTTTTTTCGTTTTCCTATCATTCTCATTTTTTTTACAATTCCTTCGTTGCCTTACTTTGGCTATATTTAGCTGATACCCGCTGAGAGTCATCACAATTTGCTTTTTAGCTGCTATTATTAGGTCCAAACACCGCTTCCGCCGTCATGAACTCACCTCATCATAACCTTAGAATTAAATAACCCAAAAAGATTCATACTTCCGGGTTTCCTCGTTGTCTCCCTCCCACGAGTTATTCAATATGGATATTTTCGCCCTTCATTGCAGTTAAGGTACATAAATTTGTCACAAATAGGCCATGCATTTTCATGTTACTTTCAGTCATATGGGAGAAGTTTTCAATCAAAGGATTTAAGGGGAGAACAAATATGTCAGCAAGAAAGCTGATTCATAGACGATACCTCCAGGATGCGCCACGATCATGACCTTCCATTGGATAAATAGGATAAAGTTCTGAGAGATCATGAAGGGATAAATCTCGACAACTTGTCGGCAATACTCATTGATAATAAAGTGTAATGCGAATTGATTGGTGAGGAATAAACAACTTTGAGTTCCAAACAATATCAGCTAGTCAAGTTTATTCGACGATTATGATCGTGGATATTTCCTACTTCACAACGAAAGCAGAAGAGAGCTCCAGGTGTCAAGTTTTCTGAAGTTGGCGAAATCAGAGCCAACATGCACAAATAATCTTCTCACGGAAGAAAGGCGAGAAAATGTGGATGCATTTGTAGAAATAAGCCGTCAACATGTTAAAATCAAAAGAAAAATCGGCGAAAATCTCTCATTTAACATTTCTGAGCTTAGGTTGGATTGAGCAGTAGCAGAAAAGCAAATTTGCTTGCAAAATAAACCTTGACCTTGGGGTAACAATCTCTTCAAAACATAGAAAGGGACCAAGATCTCAATGCCTCATCCCAGAAAGCGTGTAAGCGAGAGCTGAGCGAGATGACGATTCTCTGGGGTGTGCTGCACCAATGTCTACAGTCGTCATCCCAAGATAAATACTCTCTGGGGGGAGCATTTCTTTAGGGCTACTTCCTTCAATCACCAGTCTTTACAATCATTATAGCTGAATGAAGTACAACTTCCTTTGCTTACCAAGGTCGGTTAGGAGCTGATTCGGGCGGAACAATGTTCCTTTCTACTGAATATCGCAGCTCTGTAGTTAGCCCACTCTCAAACGCATATTCCACAAGACACGAAGTTACTAGTATCACAAGCAATTCCATCCGATGACGGAACATAAGGGTGTTAGTAAAAAAAAACTGTAAAAAGATCAAAAGTTATTTCAGTAAACGGTTGTGTTGACGGGCGGAGGCTACGTGACGCTTGTAATCAGTACGTCTCAAACTTTCTTATCAACTAATCAAAGGCCTCGGAGTGTTTTCATAGGGTACTTAAAATCCCCCCTACGAAACCGTACAAAGTTTTGAACATTCCAGTAATTCCGACGTCTTTTCCCACGTTTTATTCAATAGATAGAAATTTGAGCTAGCGTCAAATGTCGCCGTTCTGGTATGCATGGCCAGGAGATGAATTCCCGGACCGGTCCCTGCCTAGAACAGCATGATCAACGCCAAGAGCTTCATTCAAAGGGATCGTTTCGTGGAATAGAAAAGCTGCAAAAAGCTTGTTTGGTTTGGATCACAACTAGAAGTGAGCAAAGCTGGGGTTGTAACAGTAATCAAGATGAGGGATGATCGGTTTTCTGCATGTCGCCACACCCATTCTTGAAACGTTGACAGTTTCATTGCCATGGCTAACGACCTCAAGGGAAGAAGTCGTAGTTACAAGCTAACAAGCTGAAAAAGCGGTAACCTGGTAATATGCTACTCTGGAACATTGACATCTTCTTGAAGTAAATCTTTTTGACCAATAGGTGGTTGAAGGGAACGCATTTTTAACCTCCAAACAAATGTTCGAACAATTCCGATTCATTCCTGACTTGATCAAGCGTCTCGACGAAATATATTGTTAAAAGGAGACCGAAGGTAGGGTAGTGAGAGGCGGAGGGAAAGCCACCGTAATTTGGGATCGAGTTCCAACAGAGTAGAAGCTGGCTTTAGTAAGTCTTTCTCATCTTATTGACTCCATTGAGGAATGATAGGGTAGCGTATAGAGGAGAAGACCCTCAACGTGGACGTGGACGTCGTCTGGCCTTCTTCCGGCAAAGTATGGATGATCATTCATTCCAGAGAAGCCTATTCAAATCGCATGGCTCATCTTGAACAAAACTGACATTCACAGTGGTCGTCCGAAGTAGGGTTCAGTACTGTGGGCCTAGTTTTGCGCTGGCACTTTGAAATACTGGAGAACGCTTTGTAAAAAGCAAAAATCGCTCTGCAACTATTAGAACAATCAAGAAGAACAATCATTGGAAACTACTGAATAAAGCACAGTTGCTGGCTTTTGTTAACAGCAGCTTAAATAGCCCAACGAAGCTTCAGACGGTACCAGCTTGCTTGATTTGTATTCAATAATTGAATAAAGCTGCGAGTGCAACCAGATTTCTTCACAGAAAATGTGATTTAGTATGAATTTCATTAAGGCAAACCATTTCTGAGGCCTGGAATGCAGAAGCCATACATACTCTGGATACTTCTGATAGCATCTACGTGCTGTAATGCCTCTACCCAGTGCATCCTACACGTGCTCCATGGGATTCAGGTCGGGGGCACGGACAGGCCACTCCATTCGCTGGATAACCTCTTGTGTAAAGAGCTCTTTCACCTGAGATGTTCGATGCGGTTCATTTCATTGTTATCCATGAAAATAAATTCAGGGCTCACTGCCGCCCTAAGAGGATAGACATTAGGGAGGGGTCCCTTTTCACAGTAACGTCGACTGTTAAGGGTGCCACACTCAAAAATCAGGAGGTCAGTACGGTTACGAAGCATGATGCCTCCACATACCATAACACCTCGACCACCAGAACGATCAAGTTCCACAACGTTTCTGGGAGAAGTGCGTGTCCCCAGCTCTGGCCATGAGGGTGCGTCTAGAATCACTGCTCAGTTCGCTATGCTCCTGTCACCACCCTAAACCGTCTCGCCGATTCGCGAGGGTCAAAGGAACCCTACGTAGTAGTCGTCGGGCGAAGAGGCCACCACCGTGCAGTCGTCGTGCCACTGTAGTGCGTGGGATGGCATACTTTGAAATCCTGTTAAATGACGTTGCAATCAAAGAGGCTGACTGACGTGGATCTCTTCATGCCTACTGCACAATGTAGCGGTCTTACCTTAGAGTAGTTGTTCTTGGTCGACCACCTTCTCTCCTTCGTGCAGCAGTATAAGAGGTTCGGAATGCTCCCCGTGCACGTGAAACAACGCTGTGAGCGATATCAGGTTCCTAAGCTGCGTTCATCTTTTTTCGACCTTTTTCGAGTTTCCCGATGATCCTTCCTCGTGCCAGGTTATTATAGAAGGATAACACCACAGTACTTGGAAGCAACTAGCTGATTGATAGAAAAAAATTTTCCGTACCTAACAGCTCCCTCGATTTGTGCGAGTAGCCATATTTCTCGCTTTATATTAACTATTCCTCCACCAAGGGATGTCCAACTCCCTGTGCATAACGGTCATAGGTCTGGCAATATAATCCCACACTTTCATCTATTTCCACCCAGTCCTCAATGTTTTGTGTTACATTATCCATCTCGTCCCTAAGTTTTGCACACCAGTGTATTATCGGGTTGCTTTGTTTACTCGAATTTATTGCCAATTCCGGCTGGCCGAGCCATCACGCAATAAATGAGGGAAGCGTAACTTACAATTAAATTCCGGTAGCGTAGCGGGTAAGGGTGACTTACAGATAACATGAGGTCGAGCTCAGAGAAACAGAAGCATTTCGCCCAAAGTTTTTCGGAAAAGGGTGCTTCAACACGAACGGCAAAGTTATAGAAAAACTTCATCAAAGCAGCTAATTCAGTTTCTAGGAATCTGGATTGAAAATAGAGGTTTTAATAGAGATGGGGCTGTTTCAGAAGAGCCCGGCGTCGGTGGAGTAGACGATTAAACTCTTGATTTTGAAGGTGAGAAAATGAGAGCTGATCGTTTGTTTAGTGGTAGGGTAAATGGGTGATGAAAAGGAAGCAAAACAACAAAGAAGACGACCAGTAGTAATGCCGTAGCAAGAAGTACTTCAGAATGGGAGTAGTAGCGGCGTCTCAGTCAGTGCAGCTGATTCACCTATTGTCCTTTCTATTCTTCCTTGTCTACATCGTGCCACCGCTATCTCACTGGTTCCCATTCAGCTCGCATAGTCGGCCAGAAAAAAATGGATGCAAAAACTGCGGCTTTTTTTAATGAATATCTTCACTGTGCCCTTCACCACCGGACTGCTGACCTTCTTTATCTCACTTTCCCTACATGCAAATAAATTCATCGTTCCGAGTACTCAAGAGCAAAGTGCTGAACCCACCCAGTGCTTATCCCATCAGCCCCAAAAAGTGGTAAGAGTTTTTAATAAAGCGTGTGAGATTAATCGATGAACCTTAGGCCATTTACTGATCCAACCACTGAGTTCATTCTATACCGAGTGACTTTAATTTGGATATTTATGTCTGCTCCACTGGCGAAAACTGCTGTACTTCAGTAAAAAACTACGAACTAGTTCTAGCGTATGTCGAGTAGAGAAGTACACACGATTGGGTGGGACCACGTTTGCCTCAGTGGAGTGGTTTGTAATTTACCCATCTCCAGATCGTTACAAAGCGGTAAAAGTTTGGGAAAAAACATAGAGGGGCTGAAACGCTGCTTTGGAGGGAAAGACCCTGGAACATTCACCCAGATCCTGACTTATCAGCGAGAATGTGAAAGTCGTATCAGGACCACATGAAAAAGTGAGTTCAATTTCAACTTACAATTAGAAGAGTATCAAC